CCGCGCACCTTCCACGCAGTGCCCATATTGTTTCTACCTTGAAAGCCGGGTCACCCAGAGACGGAGCGTCCAAGGAGTGCTACGGTCGGATCGAGGTATAATGATCGAGGTCAGTCTTGGAAGGGTACCTTCATGTTTTTCGTGCTTGTTGAATGTTCTTGTGCATCTTGGGGGAGGGTACCCTCGAATGCACTTCATTTTGACAGGCGGAGGGTCTCACGTGCTTGAAGGATGTTGTGTTGTCCTAGGTCCGACTGTATCATTATCCTCTTCCTCTTCGCCGAAGAGCAGACAAGCGCTCGCGTGGCACCGGTGCAAGGAGGAGGAGGATGGGGAGGAGGAGGAGGAGGAGGAGGCGGAGGACGAGGATGATGATGATGATGATGATGATGATGATGATGATGATGATGATGATGATGATGATGATGATGATGATGATGATGATGATGATGATGATGAGGGAGGAGGAGGAGGAGGAGGAGGAGGAGGAGGAGGAGGAGGAGGAGGAGGAGGAGGAGGAGGAGGAGGAGGAGGGGAGGAGGAGGAGGAGGAGGAGGAGGAGGAGGGGGAGGAGGAGGAGGAGGTGGAGGAGGAGGAGGAGGAGGAGGAGGAGGCAAGACTCGACCCAGGAGGGTCATGCAATCGAATTCCCATGGTGGCCCCACGAGCCCCGCGAGACCTCCAGGAGCCCCAGGGACCCCTGCCGAGGCCTCACCGTCCTGAGCGCAGGCCGAGCCTGGGTTTAACCCCAGGCTCTGCCCGCGCCGACCTCGTACACGGCGTGCGCCACGCCGCCCTCAGCCTCCTTCAACGGCCGCCCGAGCTCCATCGCGAAGGAGGCGAAGAGCTGGTCGCAGTCGCAGGCGCGGGCGGCCGCAGCGGCCTGGGGACCGCCAGGCTGCGGCCCCGCCGTCGGTGGCCTCCAGCCCCACGCCCGCGGGGCCGAACTCGCAGCCCACGACCCTGTCCGCCCATGGGCCAGGAGGGCGGCGGTCAGCTGCACCTGCACGGCCATGCACGTCGCCGCCGTCGCCGTCGGCGAGGCCGAGCTCGGCGGGAAACCGCCCGACAGCCGTCGGCGCCTGCACCGCGGCGAACGCGGCGAGCTGCGCTTCGAGCTCGACGAGGCGGTCGGCGGCCGCCGCGAGCTCGGCGCGCTGCGCCTCGGAGCCGTCGTCCAATCCACGGCCCCCTGATCCAGCGATCGCGAGCGCCGCCGAATCCAGCCGCTCCTGGGCGCCGCGGAGGAGGGCCTCCAGGTCCGCAGCGCACACGGCCGCAGGAACCTCCGCGATCTGCACGACCAGCCCGCCGTTGTCGCCGTCGGCTGGCGGCACCTCCGAGCCGTCGAAGGTCAGGCCGTCCGCGCCGAGCAGGCCGAGTGGAACGAACACGGGCGCCTGCGCCCGCAAGCCGCCTCCGGCCGCCGCCCGCCGCTCGAGCTGGGGTTCCCGCTCCGCACGGCGCAGCTCCGCGGCTCCCGCCGCCCGAATGTCCACGCCCTGCGCGTCGGCGTGGAGGGCGACGTTGCGCCGCAGGCGTTCGAGCCAGGAGGGGGTCCCCCCCCATGCAGCGCTGGGAGCAGCGCCTGCAGCCTCTGGGCCACCTCGCCATCTCCGATGATGGCGTCCAGGGCCTTCTCGGCGGCCTCCTGGCGAGCTCGCACCCGCCCCAGCTCGTCCGAGATTCTCTTCACAGCGTTGTCAGCCGACCACTTCGCCCACTGCCTGCCAGCAGCGCGCTGGGCCGCCGATTGCCTTGGCGCGCCTTCCGCGCCATCCCGCGCCATCCCATGCACGCGCCCCGCGCCCGTCGAACCAACGGCTATGGGGCCTGGCTCCAGGCATGAGCCAAAATGGCTACGGAGGAGGAGGCGGAGGAGGAGGGGGAGGAGGGGGAGGAGGAGGAGGCAGAGGAGGAGGAGGAGGAGGAGGAGGAGGAGGAGGAGGAGGAGGAGGAGGATGAGGAGGAGGAGGCGGAAAGAGGAGGAGGAGGCGGAGGGGAGGGGAGGAGGAGGCGGCGGCGGCGGAGGAGGAGGAGAAGGAGGAGGGGGGGGAGGAGGCGGCGGCGGCGGCGGCGGCGGCGGCGGAGGAGGAGGAGGAGGAGGAGGAGGAGGAGGAGGAGGAGGAGGAGGCGGAAGCGGAGGAGGAGGAGGAGGAGGCGGAGGAGGAGGAGGAGGAGGAGGAGGAGGAGTGGTAACGGGAAGAAGGGGACTGCGCGGTCTCGTCGGCGTGGGTGCCAGGAACCTCGTCTGGGGCGTCACAGTCTGCGTGATCTCCTGCTTCGCCGGAGGGGCGGGCTGCGGGGGGGGGGCGGGGAGGGGTGCCTTTGCCCGTGCCGCGGTGGCCGCACGGCCCCAGCCGCATGGCCCCAGCCCGATGCCACCGATCTGGTCCGATATCGATGTCGAGCGGTATCGACATCGATTTTTTGGTTCCCAGACATGATCGCCTCGTAATTCAACGAAAATCAGGACGGGAGGTTTTTGCCAGTTTTCGGCCCTGGGGGGCCTTCGCCGGGCCTCGGGACCGTCAAAAAACAACTCAGGACGAAAAACTGGTCCCAGGGAAAGGGTCGGGGCTTCCACGGACCCCGTACTGAACAAATCAGAACGTCGCATGTCTGGGTTCGGAGCTCCAAGAGACGGGGGCCAATGCAAACGGGGTCCGCCAGAGTGCCAGACCTTACAAGATCCTGCAGAGCCATGGGCGCATTAACCCAGTCTTGGGGTCAGGATCCTGCAACATTTTGAAGGATCCTGCAAAGCTCTAGGCCTCCTAGATGGGGTCGGAGTAGATTGGGTCGGAGGATCGCGCAGCATCGCCGATTCATCGGCGATGCGGCTCGATGTGGAGCCCGCTTTTCTCCATTCCGACGTCGCCGACGCATCGCCGACATCGCCGACATCGACGATGCGTCGCCGGTGCACCGCCGATGCATCGGCGATCTGGCGCGATTCTCCGACCCCATGTATACTCGGTCCCCGTCTAGGACGCCTCTGGAAGCCTGACTGGCCCGGGTTTGGATTGACCCGGGAGGAAAATATGGGAAGTGGTGGGGAAGACAAAAACCCTATGGGGAATCCTTTCATTTGTGTGTATTGATTTGTGTGTCCCTGGGCCCCTTGATAGATCCCCGATCGGTTCCGACATGTCCGCCGCCACGGCGCAGGGGGGGGGGTCCTGAAGGCGCCGGTCCCTGGAGGCTTCTGGCCGTCTCGGGGCAGGGGCCCTCCACGCCGGGGGGCGCCAAGAGCCAGCTCAGGACGAGGAGCTGGTCCTGGGGTTGGCCGTGGGTCAGGAGGAAAATATGGAAAGATATGGGGATTCCTGTTACTTGTGTGTACTCCAGATTTCGTAATAAAAGGGAGGGGGTCTGGACCCTCCAAGACAAGCCATTTCAGACCCCCCCTCGTGGGAGAACCCTCCAAAACATCGTCCCCAGACCCCCCCAGGCCCTCCAAGATGGCCTGGAAGAGGCCCCCCCCGAAATGAGACCCCCCCCTCCCTTTCTTACGACATCTGGAGTATGTATATGTTTGTGTGTTTGTGGGCCCCTCCAGTGGGGCCCAGGTTCCGCTCCCCTCGGGACCCCCTTCCTTCTCGCCCAGCTTCGTCTATCCGGTGCGGCCCGGCATGTGCATGGCGCTGACTCGTGGCCTCGGAGGGCACCAGCTATACACCTACACCGATCCAGCCCAGGCCGATCCTAGGCCCAGGATCGGTGTATATGCATTCTGCCCATGGCAGGAGGGCGTATACACCGATCCTGGGCCCAGGTTGATCCTGGCCGGGATCGGTGTTGGTGTATAGTTGGTGCCTCCCTATGGCCTGGCGCGGCCGAGTCGGGCCGGGTGCGGCCCGGCTCGATGCACTCTCCGGTTCGAGGCAGCTGCCCGATCCAGTGCCGACGGGCTTCGGAGGAGGGGCGGAGGGGTGGGGGAAGGGGGGCTCCTCCGGCCTCCCTTCCTCCTCCTTCTCCTCCGCCTCCTCCTCCTCCGCCTCCTCCTCCTCCTCCTCCTCCTCCTCCTCCTCCTCCTCCTCCTCCTCCTCCTCCTCCCCCCCATTTTCTTCTTCCTTGCCAATAACTTCTCCTTGGCGCACCCCGAGGCCAGTTTTTGGGGCGGGCGGGGCGTTTCGCGTGAGACTTCCTCACCATGTATGGCTCTGAATCTGGAATTTGACAACAGTTTCACAGATGAAGGGCGGGCCGTGCTCAAAGTGTGGCTCTCGCGCACATTCGTTTTGAGCAAGTGCAGGGTTTCGCGGATTGAGGGCGGGTCGTTTTCAAGATGTGGCTCTCGCTTTGACGCCGCGCAAATTCGCTTTAACAATTTGCAAGAGGTTTCACGGATTGAGGGTGACCCGTTTTCAATTTGTGGTTCTCGCATCAGCGCCGCGCACATTTTTTGAAACATTTGCAGGATTTTCACGGATTGAGGGCGGGTCTTTTTTCACGGATTGAGGGCGGGTCTTTTCAAAATGTGGCTCTCGCCTTGACGCCGCGCATATTCGTTTATAACATTTTCAAGAGTTTCACGGATTCCCATGATCAAAGTATCTGAAACGGTGTTTTAAACGGATTCGGGATTATGCGGGTGCAACAGTTACGTTGATTCGCGGTGTTGACGTCCCAAGAATGGTGTTCTGGTGCGGTTCAGGATCGTCAAGACGCAACAGTCAGTTTGATCCGTGGCGTTGGAATCCCGAGAACTTGTTTTGGCACGCTTCAGGGTCTTCAAACGGTTGTCTTCCAACGAGGCAGCTCTCTCAATGGAAATGAACCGATGTAGGGGCCTGTGAGGAGGGATATTGGAGGGGGGGTTATTCCAACATCGTTGATGATTCTTGGGTTGACACTGGTCCTCCTCCTCCTCCTCTTCCGCCTCCACATCCTCCGCCTCCACCTCCTCCCCCTTCTCCTCCTCCTCCTCCTCCTCCTCCTCCTCCTCCTCTGCTCCTCCTTTTCCTCCTGCTCCTCCTCCTCCTCTGGCGCTTCTC